GACTCAGCTTTAGGGTATACTCTATCATTCTCAACCTTCAAAAAATCCCTACAAAGTACCATTAATTTTTCACGAATTTTCCAATAAATTATCGACTTTCCCCCGTAACGAATCTCCCAGACCTAACTTGAATGCAAAAACTATTCTGGACTCAGCTTTAGGGTCTACTCTATCATTCTCAACCTTCAAAAAATCCCTACAAAGTACCATTAATTTTTCACGAATTTTCCAATAAATTATCGACTTTTCCCCGTAACGAATCTCCCAGACCTAACTTGAATGCAAAAACTATTCTGGACTCTGCTTTAGGGTCTACTCTATCATTCTCAACCTTCAAAAAATCCCTACAAAGTACCATTAATTTTTCACGAATTTTCCAATAAATTATCGACTTCCCCCCGTAACGAATCTCCCAGACCTAACTTGAATGCAAAAACTATTCTGGACTCAGCTTTAGGGTCTACTCTATCATTCTCAACCTTCAAAAAATCCCTACAAAGTTCCATTAATTTTTCACGAATTTAACAATAAATTATCGACTTTCCCCCGTAACGAATCTCCCAGACCTAACTTGAATGCAAAAACTATTCTGGACTCAGCTTTAGGGTCTACTCTATCATTCTCAACCTTCAAAAAATCCCTACAAAGTACCATTAATTTTTCACGAATTTTCCAATAAATTATCGACTTTTCCCCGTAACGAATCTCCCAGACCTAACTTGAATGCAAAAACTATTCTGGACTCTGCTTTAGTGTCTACTCTATCATTCTCAACCTTCAAAAAATCCCTACAAAGTACCATTAATTTTTCACGAATTTTCCAATAAATTATCGACTTCCCCCCGTAACGAATCTCCCAGACCTAACTTGAATGCAAAAACTATTCTGGACTCAGCTTTAGGGTCTACTCTATCATTCTCAACCTTCAAAAAATCCCTACAAAGTTCCATTAATTTTTCACGAATTTAACAATAAATTATCGACTTTCCCCCGTAACGAATCTCCCAGACCTAACTTGAATGCAAAAACTATTCTGGACTCAGCTTTAGGGTCTACTCTATCATTCTCAACCTTCAAAAAATCCCTACAAAGTACCATTAATTTTTCACGAATTTTCCAATAAATTATCGACTTTTCCCCGTAACGAATCTCCCAGACCTAACTTGAATGCAAAAACTATTCTGGACTCTGCTTTAGTGTCTACTCTATCATTCTCAACCTTCAAAAAATCCCTACAAAGTACCATTAATTTTTCACGAATTTTCCAATAAATTATCGACTTTCCCCCGTAACGAATCTCCCAGACCTAACTTGATTGCAAAAACTATTCTGGACTCTGCTTTAGGGTCTACTCTATCATTCTCAACCTTCAAAAAATCCCTACAAAGTACCATTAATTTTTCACGAATTTTCCAATAAATTATCGACTTCCCTCCGTAACGAATCTCCCAGACCTAACTTGAATGCAAAAACTATTCTGGACTCAGCTTTAGGGTCTACTCTATCATTCTCAACCTTCAAAAAATCCCTACAAAGTACCATTAATTTTTCACGAATTTAACAATAAATTATCGACTTCCCCCCGTAACGAATCTCCCAGACCTAACTTGAATGCAAAAACTATTCTGGACTCTGCTTTAGGGTCTACTCTATCATTCTCAACCTTCAAAAAATCCCTACAAAGTACCATTAATTTTTCACGAATTTTCCAATAAATTATCGACTTTCCCCCGTAACGAATCTCCCAGACCTAACTTGAATGCAAAAACTATTCTGGACTCAGCTTTAGGGTATACTCTATCATTCTCAACCTTCAAAAAATCCCTACAAAGTACCATTAATTTTTCACGAATTTTCCAATAAATTATCGACTTTCCCCCGTAACGAATCTCCCAGACCTAACTTGAATGCAAAAACTATTCTGGACTCTGCTTTAGGATCTACTCTATCATTCTCAACCTTCAAAAAATCCCTACAAAGTACCATTAATTTTTCACGAATTTTCCAATAAATTATCGACTTCCCCCCGTAACGAATCTCCCAGACCTAACTTGAATGCAAAAACTATTCTGGACTCTGCTTTAGGGTATACTCTATCATTCTCAACCTTCAAAAAATCCCTACAAAGTACCATTAATTTTTCACGAATTTTCCAATAAATTATCGACTTTTCCCCGTAACGAATCTCCCAGACCTAACTTGAATGCAAAAACTATTCTGGACTCAGCTTTAGGGTCTACTCTATCATTCTCAACCTTCAAAAAATCCCTACAAAGTACCATTAATTTTTCACGAATTTTCCAATAAATTATCGACTTTTCCCCGTAACGAATCTCCCAGACCTAACTTGAATGCAAAAACTATTCTGGACTCAGCTTTAGGGTCTACTCTATCATTCTCAACCTTCAAAAAATCCCTACAAAGTACCATTAATTTTTCACGAATTTTCCAATAAATTATCGACTTTCCCCCGTAACGAATCTCCCAGACCTAACTTGAATGCAAAAACTATTCTGGACTCAGCTTTAGGGTATACTCTATCATTCTCAACCTTCAAAAAATCCCTACAAAGTACCATTAATTTTTCACGAATTTTCCAATAAATTATCGACTTTCCCCCGTAACGAATCTCCCAGACCTAACTTGAATGCAAAAACTATTCTGGACTCTGCTTTAGGATCTACTCTATCATTCTCAACCTTCAAAAAATCCCTACAAAGTACCATTAATTTTTCACGAATTTTCCAATAAATTATCGACTTCCCCCCGTAACGAATCTCCCAGACCTAACTTGAATGCAAAAACTATTCTGGACTCTGCTTTAGGGTATACTCTATCATTCTCAACCTTCAAAAAATCCCTACAAAGTACCATTAATTTTTCACGAATTTTCCAATAAATTATCGACTTTTCCCCGTAACGAATCTCCCAGACCTAACTTGAATGCAAAAACTATTCTGGACTCAGCTTTAGGGTCTACTCTATCATTCTCAACCTTCAAAAAATCCCTACAAAGTACCATTAATTTTTCACGAATTTTCCAATAAATTATCGACTTTTCCCCGTAACGAATCTCCCAGACCTAACTTGAATGCAAAAACTATTCTGGACTCAGCTTTAGGGTCTACTCTATCATTCTCAACCTTCAAAAAATCCCTACAAAGTACCATTAATTTTTCACGAATTTTCCAATAAATTATCGACTTTCCCCCGTAACGAATCTCCCAGACCTAACTTGAATGCAAAAACTATTCTGGACTCTGCTTTAGGGTATACTCTATCATTCTCAACCTTCAAAAAATCCCTACAAAGTACCATTAATTTTTCACGAATTTAACAATAAATTATCGACTTTCCCCCGTAACGAATCTCCCAGACCTAACTTGAATGCAAAAACTATTCTGGACTCTGCTTTAGGGTATACTCTATCATTCTCAACCTTCAAAAAATCCCTACAAAGTACCATTAATTTTTCACGAATTTTCCAATAAATTATCGACTTCCCCCCGTAACGAATCTCCCAGACCTAACTTGAATGCAAAAACTATTCTGAACTCAGCTTTAGGGTCTACTCTATCATTCTCAACCTTCAAAAAATCCCTACAAAGTACCATTAATTTTTCACGAATTTTCCAATAAATTATCGACTTTCCCCCGTAACGAATCTTCCAGACCTAACTTGAATGCAAAAACTATTCTGGACTCTGCTTTAGGGTCTACTCTATCATTCTCAACCTTCAAAAAATCCCTACAAAGTACCATTAATTTTTCACGAATTTAACAATAAATTATCGACTTCCCCCCGTAACGAATCTCCCAGACCTAACTTGAATGCAAAAACTATTCTGGACTCTGCTTTAGGGTCTACTCTATCATTCTCAACCTTCAAAAAATCCCTACAAAGTACCATTAATTTTTCACGAATTTTCCAATAAATTATCGACTTCCCCCCGTAACGAATCTCCCAGACCTAACTTGAATGCAAAAACTATTCTGTAATCAGCTTTAGGGTCAACTCTATCATTTTCAAACTTCGAAAAATCTCTACAAAGTATCATTGATTTTTCACGAATTTTCCAACAAATTATTGATTTCCCCCCGTAATGAATCTCCCAGTCCTAACTTGACTGTAAAAACTCTTCTGAACTGTGCTTATGGGTCAACCGAACTCTATCATCCTCAAATTTCAAAAAAATTGCACAAAGCATCAATATTTTTCCACAAATTATCGTTTTTCCCTCGTAGTAACTTTTCCAGACCTAACTTAACTGGAGCAAATATCCTCGAATGTGCCTGAGGGTTATTTCTACTTTTTCCGAATCCCAGAAATCCCCTACATAATATAAAAATTGTATTTGATTGAATTTCACGGTTTTTTAATTTTTCTTTTCAATAATTATCTGGTCGACTGTAATATACACGAATCTGAATATGAATATGAAGCTAACTTCAGCTACGTAGATAAGGCTGCCTAGAATTAAATGTCAAAAACGCCACTTCTGACGGTTCCATGTTTCCTCTATTATTCCTAATGATTCCTATATGTATAAAAAAGTAGCTACTCGTAACGTCACAATCCTCTCCACTATCTTCATCACTTGAAAAAACAAATTCGATTTCGCAAAATATAAATATTAATAATCTTCCTTCCTCACGAATTAAAAATCATATGAAATGAATGAAACTGAATGAAGAGCTTGGAATAGGAAAATTAAATAAAAAAATCTGTTCGTTTGTGTCAGAATATCAATTTATTGTTCTAAAGCAGTTATTAGTTGAACTGGTGACGCCACAAACGAATATTTTGCTCTCAGTTCAAGTTAGTGCGACAGAAACGAATAAACCTCATTGCAAAAAAGAGCAGTTTAGTGCATAGTCTGCACTGAACAGACACTAGTTCACTCTAACCACACCTAGATTACAGAAATCTGTAATTACTGTTAAGATCCAATGAACGCTACAAGATGGCGCAACCGCTCGTGTGAATTTTGAATGTCACAATTTTTCAAAACAAATAGGATCAAAAAATCAAAATAACAAATAGTTAATAGTTCTAAATATATCCAATCATCTAAAACCATTCAATTTGAACCGCCAACAATTAATCCCCAAAAATCATCCACAAAAGCCCCATATTAACGATTATTTTGTGCCCTCCCGAACATCTAACCTCCAAAAACGTTCATGCCTCTCATCAAATAGCTCCGAATGTTGATGATATTGGAAAGTTGTATTCCTAAGAGATGGATCCTGTAACAACGCATAATTTGGTGCTGGAAGTGCTGCACAGCGCTTCGAGTCAGGACCCGCAAGTGCTGAAACCGGCCGAAGAGAAGCTGAAGCAATGGGAAACCGAACCAGGATTTTATAGTGTTCTTTATGTGAGTATTGTTGATTTTTTCATAAGGTAATAGGCATGCAAATTAGTATAATTTCTCTTAGAATTATTTTCCAAAGATACCCCTAAGTGCACTAGTGTTTTACTTATTTACTTGTTTGTAATTCCTACTGCATAAGTCAAAAGACTTTGCAGCTTCGCAGCTGCCAAACTATTGAAGTTGCATTGAAACTGTTGACTAGAGATTTGTAGAGAATTCAACTGGCTTTAAGTTGAGAACGGATTGAAATTAAGAAAGAAGTGGGGCAAACCCCGGGGCAAAATGTGTGGTAAAGTCATTTTGGGCTTGAAGCAATATTGAGGGACGTTCTATTTTCTTGTGAGACAACTGTTTGAGTGATGGGATTGATATTTGGCAAAGTGAGAGAAAATATTGATTTTTTCAAAATTTTTCATTTTTTTCTATATACCTACTTAAACACTTCAATAAACGCCTCATTTCTTATTTCCTATGTTATTTCCAAGGTTATTTCTTATTCTATTTTACTTCCTGTATAAACCAGGTTTACACATTACATTACTTGGAGTACAAGTACAAAATACTCAAGGTATTGTAGAAGTATCTAATTGAAAGTTCTTAACTTGAAGTACAATTGAAGTATTTCAAGTACTCATAATTCAAATACATTACATTATAATAGGTCTTTCTAATAAATATAAAACATGACAATTTTTTCATTTATTATTTTTCTTGGAACCTTTGTCAAAAATTACCCTTCAATCCAACAAGCAGCCTCTAATGTACAAGGTAATGTCTGTGTTACTTCAAATAATTAAAAATATAAAGTCACTTTTGAAGAACTTGCGATACTTTCATTGTACTAGAAGTATGTACTTTTATAGTACTTGGAGTACCTACTTCTGATTCTGATGTACTGCAAGTACCTACTTCTCGACCTACTTACTTCTATACGCTTCAAGAACTTTTTAATGTACTTAAAGTTCTTCTTGGAACTTGATGAATTCAAGTACATTATTAAAAATGGTTCAAGTACCAAGTATTAAGTCTTGTTTATCCACTGTACTTGAAGAACTTATAAGAGTTATGAGAACTTGAAGTACAATTTGAAGTTTTTTCTTGAAATACCTGAAAAATCGGCTCAAGGGGCGTTTTTTTTGGGGAGATTGGATTGAAATTTTGCAAGTGAATAAAGAGAAGATTGGAATTTGAGAGAAACAGAAAAACCTTCTGCCTGCTCATCCATCTTCACAAAAATCTGAAATCAAAGTCATGACTGCAACACTTATGAAGTTGGATTGAAACCAAGAATAAAACTATTCACTGGAGATTAATTTGAGCCTTATCACAATGAGATCGGATTGAAATTACCAAAGAAGTGAAGCAAAATATGAGTCAATGTGATTTTGGAAAAAAAAACAAATGTCTAAAAAACGATCTGAGAAACGTTTTATTTTTTTTTTTTGAAGAAGAAAATCTTGGAGGAATTGGATTGAAACTTTGCAAGTGAATAAAGAGGAAATTGAAATTTAATAAAAATACAAATTTTCTTCTGCTCACTCATCTTGATAATAATCACAGTCAAAAGGTTTTGAAGTTTTGCAGCTGTGAAACTTATGAAGCTGCATTGAAACTGTTCACTAGAGATTTATAGAGGATTTAATTGGCCTTAATTTGAGCCAAATTACCTACGTTTAGATGCAGGAGATATCTAAAACTCTTCAGGGAATTTTTGGGAGGTTTGGGGAAATCTGGGGAGCAGGGCTGGCAAAAACTTTCTATTGCATTTCTGTGATAGTTTTTGTCGAGTTTTATGTGTTTTTGTGTTTTTCTCAGTGTTTTTGTAGGATTTTGTGTTTACATAACTAGACAAAATTGTATACAATTTTTTTTTTTAGTTATGTTACTACTAGTAGTTGTCTCGAGAAGTGTTCCTTTTGATTTTTACTTTTGTATCCAAGAATAGATGTTGTGATTTGCTTATGTATTTCTAGATCTCGTTTCAAAACAATGTCATGTGTATTTTGAATTGACAAACCTTTGAAGATTATAAAAATGAAATTTTCAAGAAAAAGTTCCAGATTCTACCTACCACCTATCTATAGGCTTATCTGATGGCTCATCTTATTTAAGTTATAATGATTATGTCAAATTTAGAGCTCAGATGACAAAGATAGAGTTTTTGAGCACTTTAATCTCGACTTTATTAACTATCAGATTCCATGATTTGCTCATTTTTTTTTTTTTGAGCATTAGAAAATCTAGGGAGATTTAGGGGAAATTTGAGGAAGATCTATAGCATAAGTGAGGGATATCTGGGGAAATCTGAGGGAGGTCTTACTGAATGAGACGTGCATGCGTCCAGAATTTAATTTTCTATTGATTGAGAATATTAGAGAGGATATCAAGTTAACAGGTTTTCCACTGAAACAAAAATATTATGCTTTCATATTGCAATAAATGTAGCTTTGATATTGCCAGGAAAGTAATAGATCAAGAGAAAATGCAAACGCTGTGTTAAGGGGAAGACCTCTGAAGTTGTGTTCTGGCTGTGCACTTGTGCTGATATTCTATAAAACCCCTGAAACATTAGGAAAATCTAGCAAAATCTTGGGAGATTTAAGGAAATCTGAAGAAATCTTAGGGGGATCCTGGGTAATCTGAAAGGAAATCTGTGAATATCTTTTTTATAAAGAGATCTGTCGAGGATTTATTGGCCTTAATTTGAGCCTCATCAGGTTGAGATCGGATTGAAATTATCAAAGAACTAAAGCAAAATGTGTGTCAATGTCAAATGGAATTTCCAAAAAACAATCTGAGGGACGTTTTATGTATTTTATTTTTGGATTGAAACTTGCTTCTGATGCTAATTGAGTGCTTCTTTCGTTGGAGAATCTCTGAAAAACAGTTTTTGATGTATTAGAAGTATTTTTTTTTAAAGCTGAATTTGAATCAGAAAAGCATGAAAATGTCGATAATGATATTCCAGCGAGTATTCCAGACTGTTTCTGACTATTCTATAGTTAAATTTAAGCTGTGGCATTCCTATTCCTGGCTCTTCTAAAGCACTAAGCTCTGGTTTTTGACTATTTTTAGTTGATATTGAGCTAGAAGTTGATCTTAAAGTTTTTAGATGAAATTCAGCTTCAAGTTTTTGACTTCCATCAAGCCGAATCTGTATTGGTAATGGGTGGGAGGGGATTGAAATTCAGGAACAAGCAATGTCTTTCTGCCCACTCATCTTTATCAAGATCAGAGTCAAAAGACTTTGAAGATCAGCAGCTGCAAAACTTATGGAGCTGTATCAAAATCGAGATCAAAATCATCCACTACAGATTTGTAGAGGATTTAATTGGCTTCATTTTAAGCCGAACTACGTTGAGATCGGATTGAAATTACCAAAGAAATGAAGCAAAATGTGTGTCACTGAAATTTTCAAAAAATGATATTGAGAGACGATTTATATTGTTTTGAGGAAAATAATGGAGGAATTGGATTGAAGTTTTGCAAATGGGTAGAGGAAAGATTAAAATTTAAGAAGAAAAAAAAATCTTTCTGCTTGCTTATGTTGATAAAGCTTTCAAGAAGAAAAAATCTTTCTGCTTGCTTATATTGACAAAGATCAACTTCAAGAGATTTTGAAGCTGTGTAGCTGCAAAATTATCAAAGCTGCATTGAAACTATCCACCAGAGATTCGTAGAGAATTTAATTGGCTTGAATTTGAGCCTAATTTCATTAAGATCCGATTGAAATTAACAATGTTGACATTGAGAAAAACTCTATTTTTTTTTGGGATTGGATTGAATTTTTGCAAGTGGGCAGAGGAAAGATTAAAATTTAAGAAAAAAAATTAAAATTACTTTATGCTCACTCATGTTGATAAAAATCACTGTCAAAAGGCTTTGAAGATTCGCAGTTGCAAGTCTATCAAAGCTGCATTAAAACGGTACATTAGAGATCTATAGAGGATTTAATTGGCTTCAATTTGAGCCTAATTAGACTGAGAGCGGATGGAAATTACCAAAGAAGTGAGGCAAGATCTGAATCAATGTCATTTTGGGGAAAATCAAATTTCTAAAAAACCATCTGAGAGACGTTTTTTGTTTTTTTCCGAGGTTTTTTCCAAGAAAATGTTGGAGGGATTGGATTGAAATTGCTCTAATTATTTACTCCAAGCCTCAGGCTCTCGAATTCTCTTTATTTGAAGGAAATTGAAGAAATCAGAAATTCAAGAGCCGGGAATAAAGAAAAATTGAAACAGATATTTAATAAGAGTTGTGGACAAATTAACAAGAAACTGGTTGACAGGTTAAGGTTCTTGAATTTTTCTTTTTTTAGAGAAATTTGACAAATAAACAGAAACCCCAAGAGCCGGGAATAGACAAAATTCTCATTCAAGAACTAAGAAAATTAATCAAGAATCAGGAATCGAAGAAGATTCTTCCACTATTATCCAGAGAAGAAGCGGAAAAATTTAGGATTTGATTCTAGAGTCCTCATTCAAGAACCAAGAGAGTTTGACTATATGCCTCAAAGTATTAAGATTTTTGTTGGAGAAGAATGTGCAAAATCCTAAAAATCTTCCTAGGAAAACAGATGTCTTAAGATCTGAAAATTTCTCAACCTTTTCATTGATGCCTTTATACTAATACTTACTGTCTTTGGTCTAAATTGAAAGAAAAAATAAAGAGAATATTTATTGATTTTTAAGTTTTATATTTTTATCAAATTCTAAAATAATTAGTACATTGATATTAAGGTTGGTACATATTAATATGAATGTCACTTCTCCCTTCCTTCAACTAGAAAAATCTATTTAAGTTCCAAGTAAGTATACCAAGACTGCAAAGAAAAGTTCAAGACAATTTGCACCATTTTAATAAAACAATTTTTCATTCCCAGAACATTATCGCAAATCACACCCTAAACATAAACGTAAGATGGATGGCAGTGTTGTATATGAAAAATGGCATCGATAGATACTGGAGAAAAAATGCCCCAAAGTAAGACCCATTTAAAAACGCTTTTCCCATTTTAACATATACCTTTTCAGTGCCATATCCGAAGAAGAAAAAACTTGCATCCGTCAAAACTTACTCACAAACTTCACAGAACCCATCAGCCAAATAGCCACCCAAAGAGCAGTGATTATATCAAAAGTGGCCCGAATCGATTGCCCTAAAGAATGGCCCGAACTATTTCCCACTCTATTACAAGCAGTCGAAAGTACTGACAGTTTGGTGCAACATCGTGCTTTACTCACCTTACTTCATGTAGTAAAAACTTTTGCTTCAAAAAGACTTGCAGGTAACTACAATCTATTTGAAATGTAAAATATTATTATTAATATTGAATTTTTAGGTGACAAAAGACAATTTCAAGAATTCACAAATCAAATATTTGGCTATATTTTTACGCTTTGGAATAATTTCACTGACAGTTTTGTGCAAAGCGTAATGCAAAGTGCGAGTCCGCAAGAGGTTCAGGTGTACCTGGAAAAAGCCCTTTTGACGCTGAAAATTTTGAGGAAACTAGCGGTTTTTGGTTACTTCAAGCCTCACACGAGTAAAGAGTGCATGACTTATATGCAAGTGATTTTTCCTAAAGCTAAAAGTGCTCTAATTTGTTGTAAGTATTTATATTTTTAGTGTTTTTTTTTTTTGATAAATGGGTTTTTTTCAGATAAAGAAATGAAATCTAAAGGAATTTATTTGACGGATAGTTGTGAAAAATTCATAATTCACTTGACGAAAGTGCTTTCATCAATGCTTGATGTTCACCCTTTTTCATTCATAGACCTTATACAACCTACTTTGGAATTGTGCGTGTATTATTTATTTACCGATGAAGGAATATCGTTTTTATTTGAAAGATTAGTGATACAATGCTTTAATCTTATCAAAGCAATTTTGCTTTGTGCAGAATATAGGTAAGAATAATTTTGCTTGACAATTGTTTCATTGAAAAACTGTGTTTTTGTTATCAACTTTGGCTCATAACTTTGTTGATATTTGAACAAACTAATTCCATTATATATCGTTTGAAAAAGCATTAAATTCTATATATTGTATGTTAGAATTGGCTTAAAACTTTGCTATTCTTATTGTAGGGCAGCTAAGATACCAGAAATGACAAAAAATCCAGAAACGTTGAGAGCCTACACCATCAAACAGAGCTTTTTTAACCCGAATCTTTTGACAGACATTTGCAGAAAATTGGTGGGCCACTATTTTATTTTGACTCAAGACGAACTGGACACTTGGGACGCTGATCCAGAAGCTTTTTCCAATGACGAGAGCGGAGACAGTTGGAAGTATAGTTTGAGGGTAAGACAAAATTGATTGCTACAACTTACAACAATTTAACTTATATTTTTCTAGCCAAGTATGGAAAGAGCTTTCATAACAGTATTCCATGAATTCAAAGACATTTTAACGCCTGTGATAACAGAAATGATAGCGACAACAAATGCAATAGTACCACCGGAAAATATGCCTGAAATCCTAAAAAAAGACGCAGTCTATAACGCTACAGGCCTGTGTGCTTTTGACTTATATGACGAAGTATAATATTCCTTAGGATCTCTCTACTAATAATAAAATCCAAATTTTTCCAGGTTGATTTTGATTTATGGTTCCGCAATACTTTGGTACACGAATTAAAAATCAAGCACAACAATTACAGGGTAATCAGACGCAGAGTCACAGATTTGATTGGTAAATGGATTGGAATTAAATTGTCTGGTGAACTAAGGCCTGCTTTATATGAATGCTTTGTTGGTTTACTTGCACCTGAAGAAGACATGGTACTTAGCTTTATTTAAAATAAATATTTTAGTTTGAAATATGTTTTTTCAGGTTGTGAGACTTACAGCTTCAGCCACATTACGGTACGCTATCGACGATTTCGAATTCAACTGTGACCAATTCAAAGATTACATGTTTAACGCTTTTGACTTACTTTTCGGCTTACTGAAAGAAGCCAGCGAATGTGAGACCAAAGTAAGTGAGTAAACAAAAATTGAATCTTTGTTTTGAGGCTCAAGCAAATAATTAATTGGATTTTTATTGCAGATGCAAGTCTTAAATGTTATGTGTCTGTTACTGGAACGAATGGGGAATTCCATAGTGCCGCATTCGAAAGCGTTAGTCCAGTATTTGCCGCACTTGTGGCAGGAATCTGAAGATCATAACATGCTTAGGTGTGCCATTGTTGCCACTTTGGCTCAGCTAGTCAAAAGTGTTGGAGGAGTACCAGAAGTAAGTGATGATTTATTTTTCAAGTATAAATTGTGTGGTTAGAAATCCGGCAATTTTGTCTATAGTGTAACGTTGAATTTCGTGAGTGTTTAGGAGAACAAGCTCATCATATTAAATTACAAATTAATTTGGTGAAAAATGGCAATATGAGGAAATCTTGAAAATTAACTTAAAAAACCAAATTAAGAAAAATGCACCCTTTCACATTTTAATGATTTTCGGAAAAACTCTTGATGGGAAAATTTTGGAGTAAAAAGAGGAAGGAAAGGAGTTCATCATGCTGAAATTTCAAATTAATTCGATGAAAAATAGCAACATGAGAAAATCTTGAAAATCAACTTGAAAAACCGAAATTAAGAAAAATGCACCCTTTCACATTTTGATGATTTTCCGGAAAACTGTTGAAGGGAAAATTTTGAAACTTTTGGAGTAGAAAGAGGAAGGAAAGGGGCTCATCATACTGAATTTTCGAGTTAATTCCATAAAAAATGACAACATGAGAAAATCTTGAAAATCAACATAAAAAAAACTGAATTAGGAAAAATGCGCCCTTTCATATTTAGATAAATTTTCGAGAAACTGTGGATGGAAAAATTTTGAAATTTTTGGAGCAAAAGCAGGAAGGGATAAGAGAGCTCAACTGAAATCTCAAGTTAATTCGATAAAAAAATGGCAACATGGTGAAAATCTTGAAAATCAACTTAAAAAAACCAAATTAGGAAAAATGCACTCTTTCATATTTTGATGATTTTTCGAAAAACTGTTGTTGGGAAAATGTTGAAACTCTGGGACAGGAAACAGGAAGGAAAGGAAGAACATCATATTAGAAAAGGAGCTCATCATACTGAAATTTCAAATTAATTCGATGAAAAATACCAACATGAGAAAATCTTGAAAATCAACTTGAAAAACCGAAATTAAGAAAAATGCACCCTTTCACATTTTAATGATTTTCGGAAAAACTCTTGATGGGAAAATTTTGGAGTAAAAAGAGGAAGGAAAGGAGTTCATCATGCTGAAATTTCCAATTAATTCGATGAAAAATAGCAACATGAGAAAACCTGATTTGATGATGATTTTCCTGAAAACTGTTGACAGGAAAATTTTGAAACTTTTGGAGTAGAAAGAAGAAGGAAAGGGGCTCATCATACTGAATTTTCAAGTTAATTCCATAAAAATGGCAACATGAGAAAATCTTGAAAATCAACATAAAAAAAACTGAATTAGGAAAAATGGGCCCTTTCACATTTAGATGAATTTTCAAGAAACTGTGGATGGGAAAATTTCGAAATTTTTGGAGGGGACAGGAAACAGGAAGGAAAGGAAGAACATCATATTAGAAAAGGAGCTCATCATACTGAAATTTCAAATTAATTCGATGAGAAATGACAACATGAGAAAATCTTGAAAATCAACTTAAAAAACAAAATTAATAAAAATGCACCTTTTCACATTTTAATAATTTTTCGAAAAACTGTTGATGGGAAAATTTTGAAACTTTTGAAATAGAAAGAGAAAGGAAAGGAGCCCATTGAACTGAAATTTAAAATTAATTCGATGAAAAATGGCAACATGAGAAAATCTTGAAAATTAAATCAAAGCACCAAATTAAGAAAAATGACCCTTTCACATTTTCATAATTTTTCGAAAAACTGTTGATGGGAAAATTTTGAAACTTTTGTGGTAGAAAGAGTAAAGAAAGGGGCTCATCATATTGAAATTTCAAATTAATTTGATGAAAAATGGCAACATGAGAAAATCTTGAAAATTAACATAAAAAAATTTATAAAATCAAAATTTTACACTTTTCTGGCACAATTTTTGGCAATCGGAGCGCTGGGAATAGAATTTTGATACCTCTCTATTTCAAATTTCAGCTCTAGTAGAATATATTCAGCTTGTTCTAATGGTTTAGCAGCTTTTCTACACTTTCTTCTAAAAGATCTTAAGGGTTAGCTGATTGTTGAATTCACTTTTCAAAATTCCCTTGAACTTGAAGCTTTTTTTCCAGGTTGTGGTACTTAAATTCAATTTCTGATTTTTTTTTTAGGAACTTAGCCAATTCTTGCTTCCAATAATCCAAATGGGAACCAACACAAACGAAGGTGCCATCGTATATTTACTAGAAGACGCTTTAGATTTATGGTTAGCCGTCTTAGAATATTCGCCAGCCATGACAAACGAACTTATGCAGCTTTTTAATAATATGCCATCATTACTAGGTAAGAATTTTGAATCTAATATTAGAATAACTGCAAGCATTGTGTGCAATAACTAGACAAAATATAAAAATATCAACATTTGAACTTTCTTTTCTAGATTATTCTACAGAAAATCTTCGAACTTGTCTCTACATAAGCCTAGTGCATCTTTTGCTATCTCCGGAATGGGTAATGCGCAGCCAGGGCCATCAAATAATCACAATTTGCGCCAGTTTAATGGGCGACTTGAAAAACGAAGGAGTCGTGATGCTTATGAGGCTTGTGGATACTTTTGTTAAGGTGCTGCCTGTTTTGGGCAGTGAAACTATCATGCCTATTTTACCCAAGATTTTTGAGTAAGAAATTTCTTACTTAAGAAGTCAATTATTTAATTTTTGTTATTTTTATAGACGAATCTACTTAGGCGTTGACTATCCCTTAGTAATGTCAATGTTTCTATCAATCTTAAGCAGAGTCTTATTGAGTTCCCATGAAGTATTTACACGAGTTATCGCCCAAGTGGCTAGAGAAAATAATGAAAATGACCAAATTACTTTGGGCAAAATAGTGGATAAGTGGTTAACTAAAATGGCAAATGTTGCACAGCTGGATCAAAGAAAGTTACTTGGTAATATTACTTAAATATTACAAAAACTTTAATGTATAAATTAATATTTCAGGCCTAGCATTGACAAATATCCTAACGACTCAATCCCAGCCAATTTTGCAGCATTTCAACCAAATAATGAAAAATATTCTTGAAACTTTACACGATATTACCAAATCCGAAGAGGACGGGATAATGATTGATACTTTGGTTTTGGTAGAAGGCCAAAGTCCCAGCGAATTCGATGAAGACGGTTCCTATTACGAAACCGATCACGATCACAGGAAAAAACAATTAATTCTAAGTGATCCTGTACATAATATTGTTTTGAGGGATTATTTACAGTCACAGGTAAGAATTTGGTTTAATCTTATTAAAAGTTTGAAAAAATATTATTTTTTAGATTTTTGCCCTACAAAATCAAATAGGACCTCAATACAAAGATCTAATAGCTACATTAGATGCTGAAGTCGTATCGCAACTTAAAGACTACATAACTTTTTAAGTCATATTTTTCAAGTATAAGATTTTTGCATATTTGAATAATTTTTTGTTATTATAATTTTACATTGTAATTTTCACTAAATAGGTATTATTATTTTTCCATCTGTTTTCTTTGTAAGGGTAATTACTTGTATTTATATTATTATACTATTGTAAGTATATTGCATTTTAAGAAAAATATATTAATAAAAACTTGTTGAAGAATTTCAAGGGTATTTTTTTTTATGTCTACAAAATTAAAAATAATCCTCGTCAGTCATTTCATCTCCGGAAGAATCACCTTCATAATCTTCAAGTTTTGAAAAATCAATATTTCTGAATTCCTCAATTTCCTCTGATTGAATTTTGTTTATTTTTAGTGGAGTAGCTTTAGTTGGTTCTGGGTCAATTTTGATTTTCTTTGTGGTAGTTTCAACAACCGGACTAATGAAACCTTCAAGGATTTTTTGTTTATGAAGCAGACGATTTTTTTGTTTCACTTTTTTCTTGGACAATGCAGATTCGAAATCGAATTTTGGAGTCCTAAAATATATATTTTTCACGAATCAAGAAATTTGTATTTATATATAGGTACAGGCTGTCCCACAAGGTTTTACCCAGGTGATAACTTCGGAACGCGTCATACAATATAATAATTGAAATTTTGAGGATCTGGGTAAAACCGTAGGGAACACCCTGTATATTATATATTTACCTTTCTCCTTGGAAGACTTTTTTCTGCAAATGCACTATATCATGTCTAATGTCGGCTAACATTAGTAGTAGAAAATCAAAAGATCCTCCTTCTCCTTTTGGACCACGCTGTCCTCGTTCGCCTTGTTCTCCTTTGGGGCCTTGTGGACCTTTTGGACCAGATTCACCCTGAAATAAGTTTGGATTAAGTTAACAATTAACAAACAGGATGTCTGGAATAACTTGAAGTAGGTACATTGGGATTTTGCATCCAAGAGAATCGGATAAAAACGCAAAACTTTAAAATACAGCAATTGGAAGACACTCTCGCCCAAATTAGATCGGAACTTACGCTTAAAAAAATTAGAATTCCGGTATAAACATCTGACGACATCAAGCAAGAAACTTAATGGTATGCAATCCAAAACCTGCATGAAGAAATCGCCGTAAGTGAAGATAGCCATCCAGATAAGTAAGTACTTCGCTATGGATGTGTACAAAAGAATCCAGTGCCAATTCGATGATGTCATTGAAGCGTTAGCGGCAAAAATCCAGCAGAATGTCGTCATTCCACCTCAACAAATACTAGTTAATCAACCACAACAGAACCTGCAGCTACCAAAAGTGCAAATTCCAATTTTCCATGGAGGGTTCCAACTGGTCTTCATTTTTCGACATTTTCAGAAGGGTCATGCATGAAAATTCAGCGTTGAACAAAGCCGACAAGATGCATTACTTAAAAACTAATACCAGAGAAGCAAGCAAGCTAATCCAACACTTAGAAGCAATTGCGGCCAACTACGATTCAGCATGGGACCTACCTACTACAATACTGAGAACAAAAGGCTTCTAATATTTAAGCTCCCATACAAGCTACCAGAAGTCTCAAGAGAGAACACCGAGAATCTAGAGCAGCTGCATGACGTCATACCAGCGAGTGTCTGCAAGCACTAAAATATCTAGACGTCAAAGTTGACACCTGGAGACCCATAGTGATCCGAATGACAATGAGAAAGTGGGACTCTCAAACCAGCCGTCTATATGAACAAAGTCTACAGAAACCTCACGACGTTCCGGAGTTGGAAGAATTCATAAAATTCTTGGAAAGAAGATTCCAGTCACTAGAAACTATGCCAGGATCAGAGTGGAAGCCAAGCTCAGAGAAAAAATACACTCAAGCTGTCTCTTGTGCCAAGACCAATACAAATGACGTACCACTGTCAGAAGTTCAAAGGAATTTCAGCACAGGAAAGAAGCAGATATGTTCAAGAAAAACGCATCTTCTACAATTGTCTCAGCCATGACATCAATAAGATGTTTCAGCCACACAAAATGTAGCATCTGCAGTCATCAACACCATACACTCCAACAAGCAGCCTAATTACGAAGAAAGACTGACAACTTCCCAACCGCGAAATACTCAACGATACCCACCACCAAGAATAGCAGAACATTACCCACCAAGAGGCGCGATGTCTAACCACGAAGTAGAAATGAAGAAAATGTCCTACTCGCTACTGCTCTAGTAGAAGTGAGAACACCATAAGTTCCCCTCAAGTCTTGAGGATTCTTATTGATCAAGGATCACAGATATCCATTATTACTGAAGAAGCTGTAAACCGGCTAGGATTACCACGTCATAGCATCAGAGCACAAATCTCAGGAATTGGTCACGGAGAACCAAAAGTCTCTAAATGGTTTATTGACGCACAGATCAAACCACGATTTATGAGCACATTCTCCATGGATAATAATATGATTGTCCTTCCAAAACTTACGAAGAATGAAGTGCTAGCCGATCCAAAATGCATGACACCAGGTGCAATAGATGGTATATTAGGCACAAAGGAATACGCCAATATCATTTTAAACGGTATGCAAAAAAGTACAGAAGGCCTGTTGAAACAAAACACAGAGTTAGGATGGATCGTTTCTGGCCCAATAGCATCCGGATCTTCCGCCATCCAAGTTATCAGCATGATCACTCACTATGAAGAAGATAGACAGTTAACCAAGTTCTGGGAATTTGAAGAAATAACCCAAGCGCAGCACCTAGCAGAAAAAAAGCAAGCATGCGAAGACATTTTCGAGGAAACCACAACTCGAAACTCCGAGGGTAGATTCATTCTTAGAATCTAGATAAAATGAAGAAAATGGGCGTTTTGAAAAAAGTGACTGAACCAACTGATGGTCATTGTAAAAAAGCCAGACAATAGTCTTCGAATTTGTTTAGACCCACAAAATCTGAATAAAGCCATAGTACGTGAGTGGTATCAGCTTCCAACTTTTGGGGAAATTGCATCCAAGATGGAAGGGGCAAATATTTTTTTTCAATACTGGACGGCAATAAGGGCTTTTATCAGATCAAGTTGCACGAAGAAAGTGAAATACTTACAACATTTAATGCTGGGTGTTGTGGGCGATATTGTTATAGGCGAATGCCTTAGGGACTGTGCTCTGCACCGGAAGTTTTTCATCGTACATTCAAGAATATTTTTTATGGACGATTGATTCCAAGAGAAAATTCGATGCAAAATCATCTTTAGGGGATTTTCGCATATGAAAATGCACTTTTAATCGATCCCTAATCAGTTGAAAATTGCCGTCAATTTAAGAGCCGAGAATAAATAAAAAATCCTTTTCCCAATTTGTCTGATGATGACGTAGAAATTATAAGAATCTTGTAGGAAATACACCATAATCATTATTCAAACAGTCAGCAGATGTATTAGGTCACTCTAAAGCAAGAGCAGCAGCAAGATTCAAGATCATCGAGAGAAAGTTACAAGTCAAGATCCCAGTTTACAAGAACAATATTCTGCATTTATGAAAGAATACATAGAGTTGGATCATATGAGGACCGTCACCCGACATGAAGTGAATCAAGGGAAATATTACACCCCTCATCAAGCAGTCACCAGAGAAGCCAGCACAACGACGTGTTTTCGACGCATCGTGCAAAAGCTCTACCAACATCAGCCTCAATGACATCATGCACGTCGGCCCAAGACTGCAACAAAATATCGCCAACATACTGCTTTGTTGGAGAAAGCATGAGATTAGCTTTGTTTTGGTTCGAAATTTGGAACGGTTCTGGAATTGCGCAGAACTGCTTGCGCACAAAAAATAATAGAGGACTGTTCTAATACTAGTTCTGAACTAATTCGGAACCAAAAAAACCAAAACACAAAATTCTAAAACAGTTCCTCCTTCAGAGCAAGAACTGAGAGAACCGTTCTAGAACAATCCCAGAATTGTTTTCAAAAAGTTCTAGATAAACCAAAACACTGTCAACACAGTTCGATTACGATTCTGAAAAAACCAAAACGCGTTTTGTAATATGCGCATGTGCAGGATGATTCCGAACTAGTTCTGAGTGAAACCAAAACAAAGCTATTGTGTTCTGCGCAGACATAGAGAAAATGTACAGGCAGATCTGAATTCATCGAGACGATCAACAATTCCAGAGAATATTATGGAGGGAGCATCCACAGCAACCAATGTATGGATACAAACTGAACACTGTAACATACGGTACAGCCTCAGCACCATATCTAGCCATCAAGACACTACAGAAGCTTGCAATCGAAGAATCAAATGGGGGACACCCAGACCTTCGCTTGGACCGACTCCATGATCACTCTTGCCTGGATAAAGGGTTACTCTACGATATGGAAAATCTTCGTGGCAAATAGAGTTTGCGAAATACACAGAAACGCCCCTCAAGCATCCTGGAGCCACGTTAAGTCCCAAGAAAACCCAGCAGATGTTCAGGGGATTGAACCCAGACAAACTACAACCAGCTGATCTGTGGTGGAAAGGTCCTCATTGGCTGGCGTTTCTCTGTGAAATCCCCACAACAGACAACATTTCCGAATTTCAAGAAGAAATAAAAGCCACATGTCACAAAATTGAAGTTACGATAAGGAGCGATATATAGGAACGCTTCTCAAACTTGACAAGGATGCTTAGGGTATTATCCTACTGCCGTCGATTCATCAAAATAAGTGAGTCTTACTCTATCCGTTCAAGAAGTTCAACACACTTCCGAAAGAATCATAAAAATAGTCCAACAACAAGATTTTTCCGAAAAATACAAGTCTTTACAACAGCAGAACGCAGTCGACAAGAAAAGCAAGCTACAGACCCTCACCTCTTCCCTGCGACCAACGAAACTCGATGATTCTTCCATACCATTCTCACATATTTACGTTGGTGGTGAGAAACGCACACAAGACCACGCTACATGGAGGCAACCCAGCGACATTGTCATACATACGAAGCAGATTCTGGATCATTAACGGTAAGCGAGCCGCCAAAGCAGCTATAAATAAGTGCATTACATGCATCCGTCACAAAGCCGAGACCGCACAGCAACTCATGGGACAACTTCCGAAATCGAGAGTAACACCAGCACCACCATTTACAAACTCAGTTGTGGACTAGGCCGGAGCGATTCAAGTCAGAGAAACAAAAGGAAGAGGTCACACAACGGGTACATCGCAGTATTTGTATGCCTAGCAATCAAAGCCATTCACTTAGAAGTAGGTAGTCAGTGACATGACAACAGAAGCCCTAAAAATCCTTTTATTTTGCTTCGTAATACAATTATTTGGTTTCTTTACTCAGCCAGATTGAGTCGCCAAATTTCTGACGAAACCGTGTCAAAAGCCAAGGATCCCGAAACAGTGTCCTGATTGTGTCTTAAAATACGACTCTCAACTCCTGGTTCCATGAACAAACCGCATGTTTTGCGACCGATAAGAATCCCAAAAGCGTCATCAAGCTGCCAATATAAATAAGCCTGTGAATCTCCTAGATTCATTCAGTTCTGTAATGAAGTTCTGGTGTTTAGTGTTGACGTCTTTCTGCTGACTCTCTTTCCGAGACCTTAGGTAATGTTTCAATTTCAAGTATTTTAATTTATTCATCATGATTGTTGTTTTCTGTCTATTATTTATTTTCTCCCCTGTGTAAAGAACAAAACCATTGGGTTAGCTTCACAACTCAAATCTCTTTTCCAACATGTATCTTACCCTGAATAACAAGGCCGTTTTGTCATTCCCTTGTCAAGAATTATCCTTATCCTTATCCTTAAATTTTCATGTAACTTGTACCATCAAGGAAAGCCCTATACGGGACGCTCATTCATTGATTTCACTCCCTACCATCTCAAATCTTCATATGTATTTTCTTTCATTTCATTTCAGTAAACATTGTTAATAACTTACTGTATATTCTTTACTTTTCTTTTATTTCCTTACCAAGATTTACCATTTGTTCAATAAACCATGGTTAGAGTTTAGTAAGAAAAACTGATTCTTTTATTTCCTTTGGAAAACCCCGAGATAGCATTCCAACTACCTGCGTACAGCTCAGGTAGCAAGAACCCGCACTGGAAGAGGCAATCTAATCAGATTACTAGAAAGTATCCGTTCAAAGTTACCTAGATTTTCAGTGGGGAAACAAAGTCCCTGGTGGCACGCTACCGCAGTACATAAAGGTCTTGACCAGTGCTAAAACAATGTCTCCCTTACCCAACCGTCGCAAAAAGGTGGCGGTGGTAACTGTTTCACAGCCAGAAGGGGACATTGTGCGAATATGTACAATGATAACGGAACTACATTTTGTTGGAGCAGCACGCCTATTCGAAGATGAAATTACAAAATTGATACAATCACAATCTGTGCAAAACACAATCGTCAACTTAGGAACATAATGGCACTTCATCAGACCGACTACGGAACATAGCATCAACATCAGTAAAATCATATGTATTGTTTTTCCTAGCAGCCCTAATTATGATGATTACAACCGCCGCTGCAGAAACAGGGTTTAAAATCAACTATCCACGACATGGTTTTTACGTTGAACACCTTGGATCAGCAAAAATTGATAGAGGGATTTTCAGGATAGAAACAACATATCCCAAGAACAAAACTGAAACGGAATTATCAGAGGTATCCACAATCGTCAGCCAATTCAAAAATATGTGCAACGAATCCAAGAAGCTCACCGATGAAGTCAAATGCACATCCCTCGTACAACATTTAGAAGAAATGGAAAATCACTCCAAATGGATATTTGCGACCATGGCCGACATTCACCATAGAACTAAGAGACGACTATTTGGAAAATTTTTGACTGCGGCGGTTTTTGGAATGAATGACGAAGTACATATATCAAGATATCGAGGCAATGAACAACAATCAGGAAGAATTCATCAGAGCATCGAACTACCTTCATGATCTCGGCCCTCACAAAACTCAACGAAACAGAAGCCAGAATCACGAACAAACTACATTTCCAGAAACGACTTAACGAAGGAACAGAAGCTAGCAACAGCATGCAGAGTTGGTACAAGCAAATAGACTCTAATTCCCTTAACATTCACCTATTGAGTGCATACCAAGTAGCTACCAACTTCATCAGCGAAACCAATGAGCACTATGATAGATTGCTGAACATCAACTTCAACAGGGGTACGATATATGACCAAGTTTCACCAGCATATATCAACACCGTCATTCAAAAATCCAATCGAAAGCTCCCAAACAATCTAAAGATTATTTTGGCAGCAGTGTCCACAAGATTAATCACCAACAACACGCACCTCAAGGTGTGTGGATATTTTCCAATAGTTGATGTGACGAAATTCACCCTTTTTAATTTCTTTCTAAAAGTAATGCTTGTTCATGGAATGCCTCTATTAAGGGGAGCTATTTTTCCGAGGAGCTGTTTTTCCCAGGGGCTGTTTTTCCGAGGAGCCTTTTTCCAAGGAGCTGTTTTTCCGAGGAGCCATTTTTCTCAAGGAACACCGATTCCACTCAGAATGAAACATACTGGGCGTTGGATCCATACGCACGCAGCTACTGTTTTGCATTTATTTACTTTCGAGATTTCCTCGCAGTAGTTTGTTTCACTTAGAATAGTTTTGAAGTTTTCATTTGTAATACTTATTTTTGAAAATAAATAGTTTTTTAAAACAAAGTTTACCGAAGTGGAAACTTCATTTATCTACGCCACTATGACTAGTGAAAAATATAAAGCCAATAAACAAAATAAAGCCAGATATGTAGAAAGATAATAAAAATTTACTGCATATTTACTTTTAATTAATACCATTTTGTAAATTTGAAATATTAGCTAAAAATTGCCTAACTCAATTTCCACTGAGGCACTTTCTCAACTTTCTAAAACAAATCCCAGTCCCAGGAGTGAAATTTTACAAATAAACTTTCGATTCGGAACTTATCGAAAATTTATTTTGCATTTTGTTGCAGTCGAGTTCGTGCTCTCTAGTTCCAATATTAAAAGTTCCAGGTAAAACGTGATAGAAATTCGGAATTGCTTCTCCAAAAAAAATTGTGTGTTTTTATTTATTCAGCAGTTTGGACTTACTTGTGGACCTCGTTTGCATCTGCATTGAACGTTTTCGTCTTCTGCTACCGGAACGAACGCGTCCAGCATCGAATATGTGTAATCTTGATTGGATATTGAATTTGATTCTGTACCTGGAAATAAATTTGAAATTAGTATAACTTCAATTTTTCGTTAATTTATATACATGTACAACAATAAGCTATTTTCCATTTAAAAGTTACGATCTTCATATTTCTGTTTTGGGTATTGTAATTTTTGATGCCACCGGACCTTGTTGTTAGCATACCAAACATGTCCGAAACGGTCCCAAATGTTCAATATATCACGAGCGAGGCCTCGTATGTACGCTAAAAATGATTCCCCATCAATTGTGCATTTTGTAATATAGCAGCGGGAGTCGACAAAATAAATGGGAAAATGTTTTTTCTCTCTGATGATCACTACTACAAAAGCATGACTTAGTAAGGTAGGTAATAAAATCGTCAATAATTATTGTCAGTGGATTTTTTTGTTGTTTGTAACAAAGCTGAATATTTCAAAATGTAGTGTAGTGACGCTATACCATCAAGAAAACAATTAAAGGTTCTGATTATTCTAAACAGCTAAAGACCTAGGATCCAACTACCGAAAATTAATCAAGAATAAGAAGGACTTACCAAACAACCATCCCAGGAGAGATCATCATTTAGACAGAACAACCAGAAACTTCAATTAAAAATTATCTGAACATCGATATCCAGAAATTATTGAAAGCCGATACTCTATATTGACTAATACATTGGAATGTGAATAAAGCAAAAGTTCATGAAGCTTTTTTTTAAGTGCTTTCAACAATTAACATTTCAAAAGAGCCAAAAAATTTCTAAAAAGGATCAATAAATCATGCACGAGCCTATATGATGATACCCACTTAACAAACCACTTAGCGACGGCATTGATAATTAATTAAAAGGGGACCAAATACACTAATGGGCTCTTTCACTAATTTTTGAAATTGGCATATTTGGATAAAGCAACTAAAAACAGAATTTTCTGTATTTTTACTTTTGAAAAATTCAAAGTCCTTCTTGAGAAAACAGAAAACAAAGAAATACCTCCAAATAAAAACCCAGAATTTATTTCTATGACGTCGCAGCTCGCAATTTGACCGTGTTGCCACTAATTGTCAACATTGAAAATTTGTAATAGATTTAATTCTGAACTGTTGGCAAAATCTCATGAAAAGTAGTTAAATTAATTAGTTATAGATTCAAGATTTTATAACATTTTTTTTAAAATTATGCTTAAATACAATTTAATGCAATTTTTTATGTTTAGTTTTATTTATTTATTTTACGCTGCACTACATTTAGTCACAACCGACAACAGCGCATTCGAACCTTTACGTATCTTTACAGAGCGCAAACACAGCCGAGCCCTTCCTCCTTGCAACGACATAAGCGAAATGAAGAATATTTATGTGACGTCGGCAAATCGGCGCGTTTTAAAATAGTTTGAATTTAGGCACTTTTGATTGCCTATGAAAAACTTATTGAACCTTGTAGAACATTTTTTTTTTGGTATATATGCCTAAAATAGTCCCTCCTTTGAGATTTTATACTTAAATTACGTATTTAAATTTTAGTGAAAGAGCCCATTGATCGGATGATTCAACCACGAAAAATCGAGGTCAGAAACAATAAAGAAATTTAAGACAATGAAGGGACCAATGATATAAAAAGGCAGGAGAAAATCAGTGTTCGAGAAAACCAATGTTCGAGAAAGAGCGAGTAAACCGGCAGAACTACGGCGTGAAGGACCAGTGTCGGTTGCGTAATCAAGAAACAAGTAGTAATCGAGAATCGAGAGACCTGTGTCCAGAAAGTCAGCACTACAGCGTGAAAGAGCTGTCGAATTAAGTGTTCATAATTAAAGTAAATTCCTTCAACCGATAAGATTTCCATGTAATTAGGTATAGCCAGCAGTAAATATATTATTGTTAAATGTAAGTAGAGTTTTTTTATGTTCAGCCAGAAATTGTGAAGGCAAGAGTGTGAATCGAGTCAAACTGTAAATAAAAATTTTTACTTAGAATCATATAAATTTTCCTTAACAATTGATGCTTATTAGAAATCTAACAATTTTATTGTAAGATTATTTATTACCGACGCTTGTTATTCAATAACAAGCATTATTTATTTTAATAAAATAAAATTTATTTTAATTGACCACAATATTTCTGTGTTTTACTCTCCACCCTCAACTAGGGCCCATTTTAAACTATGTCTCTACTCAGAAACTAAAGTCACCGCTCGCCAATTTAACATCTTGCCAAGTTTCTGAATTTGGGGTCTCACAGTACCTACTTTGGATGACTATTTGGAATGAAAAATAGGAGATACGAATTTGGAATAATGGAAATTATTTCTGGGAATATTTTGATTTGAGTTGAGTTGAAGTGGAAACGAAGGAAGAAACAGAGCAAAAATTATTAAAGAAGAAAAAATAAGGACAAAGAAAGGAAAAGAGGAAGTAAACGTTAAAGCATTGTTATAAAAAAGAAACCGAAATAACTCAAGAGTAAAGAAAATAAAATAAGAATTCTCAAAAAACCAAAGATATCATGAAGATCCTGTAGAATCATTATGGGTTGATGTTTTAATATAAAGTCAGCCTATGCTTGTTTCATAAATATATTGGCCTAAAAACTGCAATTCAGTGTAGCGAAGACAACCTGAAACTTATTATAAGGTTATAGAACAAGCATATGCAACACAAGGAGACTTCAACTACACAGAGATCAACTGGAAAACTTCATAAAACGAAAAGTTTTTCAAAGAACTTATGGAGTAAAGGCATGTTCTGTCAAAATCAATATAATAAAAATGTATATTATAAATACAAGTTTATGATAGAATTTTTTGGCTCAATTGGGTAGGTAAGGGTTTTTAGTTTATTTTGAAATATTTTTGCTTCCACAAACAATAGGTACCTACGTCCTACATTTTGATTGTTTTTATTAAATATTATATTTTTAGTGAGTGTGCCATATACCGTACAAATTATCAATAAAAACACAATATTTTTTTTTCCGAATAAAAGCTTTTATAACCATTCATGAATATTTAATAGGCTTTTCAAACAACAATAACAATGAAACATCAATATAATAGAATTGTAAAATATTATAAAATAAAATTCTATCAAACGGTCTTTTATTTAAGCAATGAAAAGTTTACACACCATATGCATTATTAAACTAAATAAAATAGTCCTTATTGCAATTTTTTTTCTACAAGGTATTGGAATCATGTTTGAACAAAAGTTTCTATAGCTTTGTTCCCACACAGCAAAAAACCGTACAAAAATGTACCACGATTCTGCGCAAATCCTAAAATTTGTGTGTAGAATGAAACTCATAAGTATGGGAAGGTTTCTGACGAAATTGGAACAGACCTATGTAATATAAATTTTTTCCATGTAGGTACAGGGTGTTTATTTATACAGTGTGCGCCATAAAATTGGGTAGATATGGGAAAATTCTTAATTATTCCTTTTTTCAGAAAACTATTTTTGGGGACCGTAAGGGTATGTTCGATAACCAAAAAATCGATTCTGACACATGTGATGTTATTTTAATGTGAGAACAAACAGGAGTATCATGTTTCACGGTTAACCGGTTGGCCCGGGTCAAATCCACGAAATTTCAGATCAAAGGCGCCGCCGATTTAGAGATTTTCCCACGGTATCGAAAAATATCTCAGGCTCAGGTGCCCCTGTTACTACTAACCTATCTCGAAAAGCTGTCTGTGTAGACAGACCTGTCTCGAAAAGCTGTCTTTATAGACAGACCTGTCTCGCCTTTAATCTGAAATTTCGTGGATTTAACCCGGGCCAACCCCAAATTTTTCGACGTCATGATGTTATCGGTAGCGCCATCTAGCGTACAGAGTATGAAGTTCATTGTATCCTTCTACAGAATGCCGTAGTGATAAAAAAGAAAAATTCGTGAATCAGCAAGCCGCCGACGTTTAATGTGGGAACAAACAGGAGTATCATGTTTCACGGTTAACCGGTTGTCCCGGGTCAAATCCACGAATTTTAGATCAAAGGCGCCGCCGATTTAGAGATTTTCCCACGGTATCGGAAAATTTCTCAGGCTCAGGTGCCCCCGTTATTACTAACCTGTCTCGAAAAGCTGTCTGTGTAGACAGACCTGTCTCGAAAAGCTGTATCGGACCTGTCTCTGGACCTGTAAAGCTGTCTACACACTTATAATTGTCTCTGGACCTGTATAGTTAGAACGTTTTATAGTCTATACGAAAGACCAAGCCTAAAATAGTGGTATGGTCAATATACTGCATCACATTGAAAAATATAGCAAAATTTAAACTGATTGCTCCTCATACCCGTTGGAAGCCAGACAAGTAAGGATGGATAGGTATATTCTCTGATTGGCTCTATGCTCCATATACAGGGTATCTGATTATATTTGGCACCATACCTAAAGCCGTTACTATTTAAGATAGAAAAAAGTTGTAAATACAAAACTTGAGAGTTTTTTTCTATATTTTCTGAAAACGTTATCGGAAAAAACAAAATCACATCGGAAAATGGAGAAACGTAGACAACTTCGACTTTTTTTAATGGAACACCCTGTATATTTTGCGATAAAATGAAAGACCTTTTCTTCCTGATTACAAATATATATATGTTGATCACATTTGCATGAGCCATTTATGACATATCTCAGCTTAAATTATAACTAAATTGCAAAGAAATGTTATAAAGATAGAGATCCTTATGGAACTTCTCTGCAAATTCTTTATAATTTAACCTGAGATATGTCAACAATTGCTCACGCAAATGTTATCAATATATATATTTGGAATCAGAAAGAATAGATCTTTCATTTTATCGCAAAATATACAGGGTGGTCCATTGAAAAAAGTCGAAGTTGCTTACGTTTCTCCATTTTCCGATGCGATTTTGTTTTTCCTGATAACGTTATCAGAAAATATAGAAAGAAACTGTCAAGTTTTGTATTTAATATTTTTTTTCTATCCTCAATAGTAAAGGCTGTAGGTATGGAGCCAAATATAATCAAATACCCGAATTTACCACACTCTCCCGCCACAGAGCCCGAACCATAATTAAATATACGTAGCGATTTTGAAACGACTCAAAACAATCCCTTCCACGCAAACTCCATATTACAGAAACCTGTAATTTTGAACCCATATCGATCAATTGCAAAAATTCACCAGACTCTTCCGCTATGACGCCATCACAGAATCCAAACCATAATTAAATATACGTAGCGATTTCGAAACGACTCAACACAATCCCTTCCACGCAAACTCCATATTACAGGAACCTGTAATTTCGAACCCTTGTCGATCAATTGCAAGAATGCACCGCACTCTCGACAGATGGCGCCATGACGTTTGACAAGATGGCGCCGAGGCATCCACCTTCGCGCCAAGAATGGCGCATCCACCTTCGTGTCAAAAATGAAAGATTGAGGTTATGGTCGGATTTTTATGCTAGAATCCGCTTTGACTATCTACTGCGAGTCCTAAACTAAAACCACACAGGGCTCCCGGACTAGATGGCGTGCCAGTAGATATCTTGAAAGCGGCTTCAACCAAGTCTCCAAATTTGTTCCTTCTGAAAAGTGGAGAATTTTCTACGGTCTGGAAAAAGGCCAAGTTGGTCCTCACCGAGAAGCCCAAGAAATCCCCACAGGAAAAACAAAAATTCGGACCGCTGTGCCTCTTGGATACATCTAGTAAGCTCCTAGAGCACATAATAGCGATTCCGCTACCTCCCTGAAGTAATGCGCAACTAGTCCCAGGGAGGATCTGCGAAGAGTAGCGGAAGGGTTTTAGTGGGTGACACTCCCTAGGGCGCCCAAAGACCAATGCCCTAGGCGTGCATAATGCATTTCCAATCCCTACTACTACCATTAGTATAATACAGAAATACTAATATGTACATATTATACAACTAAACCTTAACATGAAGAAAATATAAACAGAAATACATTTTTACACACACACTTGGCAGATATAAACAAAAAGTAAATTCTCAAGTTTAGAATATATTTCTTTTATCCTATTTCTATATTGTGAAATTGGATAAGTGTTACTGAAGATTCTACAGGTTATGGGCCCAGAGCTTGAATCCCGTAAGAAAAGCTGTGAAAATTCAGCAAAGGAAAATAGAAATCTGAATTATTGACAGTCGGTAAGGAAGCGGCTGACGTGAAAGGAAATTGTCAAAATGGCGATCCTACAAAATGTTATAAAGAGTGTTGGTAATTTGGTTCCTGGCAGGTAGTAAATAAAAAGGTGCTAGCCCCTTTTCGTTATCAATATGTAATTTGGTACCTAGACCACTAAACGGAGTTCCAAACCTCATTATCTTGGGAACCAAATTACGTGTCCCCGTTATAAAGCCATTTGATGGAAATGGCTACTCTAACTGGGAAGTTAGAGTTAAATTGTTAGAGCACCAAGATAAGATGCACTAGAAATTATAAGTCTGGACCCACCTAATCCAGAATCACGTGAAATGGTAAACTTAAAGCAAAAATATACTAAGGCAAGAAACTTATTGTCCGTCGTTTGTTATCTGACACTTTCCGTATGAGGAGCGGTGTGACGTCAGGTGACCATTGGCGTTTTAACGTAGGGAGTCACCAGTTCACATTCCTTTCGAGTGTCAGATTAAAATCGACGGACTTTGATTATAAATTGCTTATTTAATAACGTGCTGGAAATGATAAAGGGAAAACCAACAGCCAAATAAGAGTCACATATATGAAAACAGGTGTTGCAAGTCAAGTACGACTTGCAGCGAAAATTGAGAAACTTGAAGTTTTCTGGTAAAGAGCCCTTAAATGACTTTCGCATGGAATATAAACTGAGGAACTGTGGTAGTTCTATTCAAGAGAATGAATAGTGTTTTCACAGTTGCTGTAATGCCTGAATCCTATCCGGGTGTGACAACAGCACTTGATGTGTTATTTTGCCAAGGAAATGCAGTAACATTAGAGTTTGTTAAAAGCAAACTGTTATCAGGAGAAACAAGACAAATAAAAAATGATATACAAGAACAAGGCTCGACTCAAGCTTTCGCAGGATTAAGAAGGAAATGGAATAAAGGAAACTACAATAGAACTGGAGATTGTAGAGGAAATGAAAAGAATGCAGGTAATTCAAGTGAAAATCATCGAAATAGTTTTAGAAAATTACCATTTAAATGTCACTATTGTGGCATTGAAGGCCACAAAAGATCACAGTGTTTTAAAAAAGAAGATATGAATAAAAGTAGATGTAACTTGACTGAGGAATACTCTGTACACGAAGAAGATGTGTTCTTTATTTCAAGCTATGGCATCATCAAAGTTAAACAACAGTTTGGTGACTTTTGTTGTTGAGAGTGGAGCGAGCAATCACCTTGTGAACAAAGGTACTGACAAATATTTACCTGATGTTAGAAATGTACATGGCAAAGTGCATGTGGCAAAGATTGGAGAAGAGATAATTGGAAAGGGAAAGACGCAAGGAAATCTACATTTATGCGTTGGAAAATGGAAAAAATAGGTATCCTTGTAGAAAATATCATAGAATGCGAGAAGTAGAGTGTTTTCACAGCTATCAGCTCTACCACGTAATACCCCCCTCCAGCACAGTCATCATACCACTACCCACCTCCACTGTAAGCCCCATTCCGTAAAGCTCCTGAGCACTTTTTTGACTAAATCATACCAATATCCACCTCTTCTACGTAAATGGTCCACCAGATTCACAAATTTTGGGGTTGGCCCGGGTCAAATTCCCAAAATTTCAGATCAAAGGGGCCGATTTTCGCACGGTATCGAAAAAGTTCCCACGGTTGGCCTTGGTCAAATTCCCAAAATTTCAGATCAAAGGCAACCGATCTAGAGATTTTCCCACGGTATCAAAAAAGTTTCCACGGTTGGCCCTGGTCAAATTCCCAAAATTTCAGATCAAAGGCAACCGATCTAGAGATTTTCCCACGGTATCGAAAAAGTTTCCACGGTTGGCCCGGGTGAAATTCCCAAAATTTCAGATCAAAGGCGCCGATTTTCCCACGGTATCGAAAAAGTTCCCACGCTCAAGTGCCTTCAGACCATTTACGTAGAAGAGGTGGGTATTGATAGCTAGAATACTTGAGTCAAAAAAGTGCTCAGGAGCTTTACGGAAGGGGGTTTACACTGGAGGTGGGTAGTGGTATGATGAATGGGCTGGAGGGGGGGTTTACGTGGTAGAGGTGCGCCTGTAGCCTGGAATAAACAAAACTTGATGTAAGGAAATGAATAATACGCAGAAGAGGGGAATTATTATGCGATTACTTTCAACATTGAAGGACATTCTAAATACATAATTGCACGTACATTGTACCTTAATTTTTGCAAGTAATATACCACTTGATAAAAGTTTCATCATCAACATAACAAAACTAACACTAGCGAAAACATTACCTGATAATTTTTTAATTAACCAAAATCATTTAACGATTAGATAACATAACTTATATTTAAATCAATTTTATAAGCGTTCAATCATCCCCAACTACTACTATGAGTGAATTAAGTGAAATTAAAAACCTCCGAGATTTAGTCAAAGACCGAATCGAAGGGGAAATTTTGGAACAAGCAGCCAAACGTCTAGTTCCTCCTGGTGAAAATTACGGCAGCATCATTTACAAAGTCGATTTTTCAGTTAAAAACGACGATTCTACCGAAACTTACCACGCAGTGGCCAAATGTACACCACCGAATAAAGTAACTCAAGAAGTGTTCAACACTCAAATAACTTTTAAAACTGAAATTGGTTGGTACACAACAGTAATTCCAACTTACAAGGAGTTTCAAAAGGAAAAAGGTGTTAAGGAAGCTGATTTTTTTCAACACTTTCTCGGTGCCAGGATTTCTTTGGATCCTGACAGTGACGTTGTTGATGAATACGGATGCATTTTGACTAAGAATTTGATTAGTTTAGGTAAGTGGTTTTTTATGTTGAACGAATATCATTCAGCAACGGAAAATCGGATAATCCTGACGTGTGCATCATCGGCTAGGATTGGGAAAATTATTGTTTATGCTTTTTGATGCAGCAGACATTGTGCGGAAATTTCCATATTCGACGAACGAAAATATATGATGCATTAAAGGATTTTTGCATGAATTTTTTATTAGGAGCCAGACGTAAAATGAAATCCACATTTCAGCTTTTTCAAATTGAACATTTTTAGGATCATTTATTTTTCTATTTTAAGTTCTAATTTAGTTTATGATGTTCGGCTTCGAAAGCTTCAATTTCAGGCCTTCAATCAGCTGAGTTTCTGAAGTCCACTAAAATTTTGAATAATGACACTTCAAAGTTTTCAATTTTTGCACTTCATTTCTGTACTTTAGAATCTTTAGAAAATCATGAACTTTGAGAACTTTCGAGAACTCAATGATCTTTGGACTCTTTGGAGGGCATTAAAAGCTTCAAATTGAAAAAAAAGTGACAGTATTGGGTCTTGAACCTTTCTGGCGTCTTTAGAATCTTCAAAAGCTAAATCTCAGGTCTTCAATCAGCTGACTTTAAAGTCCACTAATATCTTGAATATTGAGACTTCAAAGTTTTCAATTTTTTCACTTCATTTCTGTACATTAGAATCTTTAGAAAATCGCGAACTTTGAGAAATTTCGAGAACTAAATGATCTTTGAACTCTTTGGAAGCCATTAAAAGCTTCAAATTGGAAAAAAGTAACAGTATTGGGTCTTGAAGCTTTCTGGCGTCTTTAGAATCTTCAAAAGTTAAATCTCAGGTCTTCAATCACCTGACTTTAAAGTCCACTAATATCTTGAATAATGAGACTTCAAAGTTTTCAATTTTTTCACTTCATTTCTGTACTTTAGAATTTTTAGAAAATCATGAACTTTGAGAACTTTCGAGAACTCAATGATCTTTGGACTCTTTGGAAGCCATTAGAAGCTTCAAATTGGAAAAAAGTGACAGTATTGGGTCTTGAAGCTTTCTGGCGTCTTTAGAATCTTGAAAAGCTCATTCTCAGGTCTTCAATCAGCTGAGTCTTTAAAGTCCACTAATACATTGAATAATGAGACTTCAAAGTTTTTAATTTTTTCACTTCATTTCTGTACTTAAGAATCCTTAGAAAAATCATGAACTTTAAGAACTTCCAAGAACTCAATGATCTTTGGACTCTTTGGAAGCCATTAAAAGCCTCAAATTGAAAAAAAAAGTGACAGTATTGGGTCTTGAAGCTTTCTGGCGTCTTTAGAAACTTCAAAAGCTAAATCTCAGGTCTTCAATCAGCTGAGTCTTTAAAGTCCACTAATATATTGAATAATGGCGACTTCATAGTTTTTAATTTTTTCACTTCATTTCTGTACTTTAGAATCTTTAGAAAATCATAAACTTTGAGAACTTTCGAGAACTCAATGATATTTGAACTCTTTGGAAGCCATTAAAAGCTTCAAATTGGAAAAAAGTGACAGTATTGGGTCTTGAAGCTTTCTGGCGTCTTTAGAATCTTGAAAAGCTCAATCTCAGGTCTTCAATCAGCTGTCTTTAAAGTCCACTAATATCTTGAATGAGATTTCAAAGTTTTCAATTTTTCTACTTCATTTCTGTACTTTAGAATCTTTGGAAAATCATGAACTTTGAGAACTTTCGAGAACTCAATGATCTTTGGACTCTTTGGAGGGCATTAAAAGCTTCAAATTGAAAAAAAAAGTGACAGTATTGGGTCTTGAAGCTTTCTGGCGTCTTTACAATCTTCAAAAGCTCAATCTCAATCTTCAATTAGCTGTCTTCAAAGTCCACTAGTATCTTGAATAATGAGACTTCGAAGTTTTCAATTTTTTCACTTCATTTCTGTACTTTAGAATCTTTAGAAAATCATGAACTTTGAGAACCTTCGAGAACTCAATGATCTTTGAATTCTTTGGAAGCCATTAAAAGCTTCAAATTGGAAAAAAGTGACAGTATTGGGTCTTGAAGCTTTCTGGCGTCTTAAAAATCTTCAAAAGCTCAACCTCAGGTCTTCAATCAGCTGACTTTAAAGTCCACTAATATCTTGAATGAGATTTCAAAGTTTTCAGTTTTTTCACTTCATTTCTGTACATTAGAATCTTTAGAAAATCGCGAACTTTGAGAAATGTCGAGAACTAAATGATCTTTGAATTCTTTGGAAGCCATTGAAAGCTTCAAATTCAAAAAAAAAGTGACAGTATTGGGTCTTGAAGCTTTCTGGCGTCTTCAGAATCTTCAAAAGCTAAATCTCAGGTCTTCAATCAGCTGGCTTTAAAGTCCACTAATATCTTGAATAATGAGACTTCAAAGTTTCCAATGTTTTCACTTTATTTCTGTACTTTAAAATCTTTAGAAAATCATGAACTTTGAGAACTTTCGACAACTCCATGGTCTTTGGACTCTTTGGAAGCCATTAAAAGCTTCAAGTTGGAAAAAAGTGACAATAATGGGTGTTGAAGTTTTCTGGCGTCTTTAGAATCTTCAAAAGCTGAATCTCAGGTCTTCAATCAGCTGAGTCTTTAAAGTCCACTAATATATTGAATAATGAGACTTCAAAGTTTTTAATTTTTTCACTTCATTTCTGTACTTAAGAATCTTTAGAAAAATCATGAACTTTAAGAACTTCCAAGAACTCAATGATCTTTGGACTCTTTGGAAGCCATTAAAAGCTTCAAATTGAAAAAAAGTTACAGTATTGGGTCTTGAAGCTTTCTGGCGTCTTTAGAATCTTGAAAAGCTCAATCTCAGGTCTTCAATCGGCTGAGTCTCTAAAGTCCACTAATATCTTGAATAATGAGACTTCAAAGATTTCAATTTTCACACTTCATTGTTGTGCTTTAGAATCTTTAGAAGCTTTGAGAACTTTCAAGAACTTAATGATCTTTGGAATTATTGAATACCATTAAAGACATTTTTTTTTTCAGGTTACAAAAACGTCGATCGTCACGAAGGATTCGATTTGAAAACCGCAAAGTCAGTACTCAGAGACTTAGCCAAGTACCACGCAATCCCTTGGGCTCTAAAACAACAAAACCCTAAATTATTTGCTGAGAAAATTTTACCTTTCATGCCAAAATATCCTAATAGTGACGATGATTCTGTCGACTTTATGGCATCAGTTAAACAAAACCTTAGAAATATGCCAGAAATAACTGAATATTTGGACAGAGTGATTCACGTCCTTGATAATAATAAACCATTTGATTTTGAATTCGTTCCAAGAGAACCATGGGCAACTATCACACATACCGATTTTTGGAGCAACAACATAATGGTGACTGACGAAGACGAACCCAAAACGATTATTTTAGATTTGCAAGGTACCCGTTACGGATCGTTAGCTTCTGATGTTTTATTCCTATTTGCCTTGTCAATCAAATTGGATGTAAATGAAAAACACATGGACGCATTAATTGAACATTATTGGACGAATTTTGTTGGAACAGTAAAAGAATTAGACAGCGATGTTACTGGTTTGACTTACGAAGGATTTTTGGAAGAACTAAGCCTTAGAGCCAAAAGTGAGCTCGGCCACGCCCTATTCATTGGCCAATTCATTTTCTTGGAAAAAGGAGTTACGCACTTTGATAGCTCCGACAAAGACTTCAAAAAAGAAGATTTAGATTCAAGTGGCAACGTTGAATTCGGCAAAAAGCATCGCGACCGATTCAGTTGGGTTATTAAGGAGTTTGCAAGACGAAACTGGATATAATAATAAATTGCTGTATAGATTTTTGTGTTATTTTTCTTACCTGGAAATCCTCTAGGGCCTGGTTGGCCTGTCGAACCGGGTGGTCCAGGCGGTCCTGGCGGACCTGAAGCGAAACTTGAAAGTCGAACGGCAGTACTTAAAGCTGAAACCTGGAAATGAATACGGTTTTGTTATTGAAGTAATTAATTCAGTTTTTCCAGTGCCATTTGTATACCCGAGACTAGGGTGGAAATGTCCCTATTTTCACAATTTGTTTTTATTTTATTAGTTTTACCCCCTTAAACCACCCTCAAAGTAATTTGCAAGTCAAGTGAGGTTGCCTAAACGATGTATTTTAAATCTGCCTATAATTTCCAGTACTGTTTGTGCCAAATATTAGGGTGGAAAAGTCCATATTTTCACAAAAATCCTTTTATCGATGAATCGCAATTATTAGTTTTTCCCCCTTAAAACACCCTCAAAAGTTATTTGCAAGTATTTTTAGATACCTACCCACTAAACAGTGTATATTGGTACTGCCCATACCTTCCAGTACCATTTGTACAGAACATGTTTATTATTGAGAAAAAGGATCCAAGTACACCCATACATAAGTATGTATAAATGTTTGTTATAAAATAAAATAAAAAAAACTGACACCAGTGATCAATTGGCAATGTCCGGCAGTTTGGCCTGCTATTGTTAGCTGCCACTTTCACATCACTGATAAACTACAACTTTGTTAATTAGAATCTCTGAATATATAGATGAGGATCATGAAAGATTTCTTATTTTCGAAGAAAAATATCCAGAGTATCCAAAACTATCCCAAGCCCAAGTTACCCAGGGAGAAAGTTTCTGTCTCTACCCAAGAAAAATGACGGAAGTTTAAAGGAAGTTTAGTGGATGCGAAGAATATTCGGAAATGATTGAAAAACCCTAATATCAGACGAAATTCAAAAGAAATTTAAGAAAGTACCACTTTGTTAAATAGAATCTCTGAACATAGATGCGGATTATGAAAGGTATCTTATTTCCAAAGAAAAATTTTCAGAGTATCCAAAACTTTCCCAAGCACAAGTTACCCAAGGAGAAAGTTTCTATCTCCACCCAAGAAAAATGAGAGAAGTTTAAAGGAAGTTTGGTGAATGCGAAGAATATTCGGAAATGATTGAAAAACCCTAAGAATGTCAGACGAAATTCCAAGGAAATTTAAGAAAGTACCACTTTGTTAAATAGAATCTCTGAACATAGATGCGGATTATGAAGGGTATCCTATTTCCAAAGAAAAATTTTCAGAGTATCCAAAACTTTCCCAAGCACAAGTTACCCAAGGAGAAAGTTTCTATCTCCAGCTAAAGAAAATAAAGTAGGTAAGTTGAAATAGGAAGTTTGATGAATCCAAAGAATAGATGGGAAATTATTGAAAAATCCCAAGAAAGTCAGACGCAATTCAAAGGAAGTCTCAATCACTTTGTTAAATATTTTTCACGAATGTCTCAAACTTTAAAATTCATTCGTCTTGAAAATATAACGAAACTTCTCATTTTCCTTTTTTTTTTTGAATTAAATCCACAATATTTTTAAATTTTCTGAGAAGTTTTTACCTCCATCAAAGGAAGTGCAGAGAAAGTAAAAGCAGTTTTAGGCTGGGAAATTTTCAAAAAAGTCAAATAAAGTTCGATTGATTGGTACTTATCGAATCATACTTCATAACTTCATTGATAAAAACATAGTAAAAATATTCATTACAATAGCACAGTTCTTACCTTTTCCTGTAAACTTTTCATTTTCTCGTTGAGCCGCACCAAACTTTCGCAATTAGCGAAACACCGACCAGAATGTCCCGCCATTACCTCCCTTAAAGGATCTTCCATGCGGCCTTTATTAAGACCGTTTAATTCCGGCTGGCAAGTCCTATTATCAGACCTTAGAATGTAACCGGGCTTACATTTGCACTTGTAACTTCCCATTTCGTTTATGCAGTCGTGTTCACAGTCTCCGTTACGATCTTCACACTCGTTGATGTCTAGAATTATTGAATATATTTTAAATTAACAATAAAGTATATATATTTTTGTTTCCTACTGATACTCTTTTGACCAAACACGAAATTTATAGGCCGCAAAGATTTACAAAACCCTTTTTTAAGGTTCGCTTGATGACCCTCTAGGAAAAGGAATTTTCAAATGAAAGGGTTAATTGAATTCTAAATACTTTACTGGGGAAGTTTGTTTTAGGGATTTTGGCTCGAATCACGAAATGTTTTGAGGGCGAATGTTTTCTGCTCAGAGGGCATATCAAAGGAACATACATCAAATAATCAGGACTTAACGTTACATTAACCACAAGAAACGATGATTATTAACAAAGATGAATTTGTATCCTTTTAATTGCAATAAGTACAAAATAACCTTATAAAGAAAATATTAATGACTCAAAGCAGAAAAATTAACCAATGAAAGCTTATGAAAGACACGATAAAAATGTTGGAAAACGAGGAAACTTGAATTATATGAAAATATACGTGAATCTCACAAATCAAATCCTTACCAACACAAACAGGTTTGATCCTTTGCCTCTGATTTTCCGCACTAAACTTATACCCTTCAAAGCAAGTACAAATCACCCTTTGAAGGTACACGGTGCAGTGTTGCTCGCATAAACTCATCTTACACGGATCCTGATCCTTCGGAATGCACCTTTAAAAAAAAAATGTTAAAAATATTCCAGAAATTTATAAGACAACGTTAATACCTTCCGCCAATAAAAGTGAAGTCGTTGCAGCAATGTCTACGTGTACAGTCAACCCATTTTCCTTTAACGTTGCATTTGTATCTAGTCGTTATGACGTTGCTCGAGGGGCATTCGAGTGTGTCTGCTCTAAAATATAGGAATTTAAATATTGCATACAAAGGGCTTTTGTGCTATATTTTAATGGAACGTTTTAGAAGAAACTATTTAGGAATTTTGAGTAAAAAATAAATGATAATGGTTTAAACTAAATAACTATTTCTGTAAGAGCTGTATGTATAGTTGGAGGATAAAAGGATCTGGTTTAAATTGAGAATTATTTCATTTGTGTCATCATTTTCTTCTGAAATGTTCACATCTTCTGCAAATTCATTATCTGTTTGAGGAGATGTTGGAATAGAATGAATTTATGAATTTTTTCCCACATTCATATTTCTATTTCCTATGATTTGATCTATTTATTTTTAAAGTATCCAATAACAAATGTAGTGGAATTCCATTGTTGATTTTTTCAACCTGATCATTGGGTACATTCAGGCGGTGCCAGCGGCTTAGTTCAGCCACTCAGCGGGAACTTTATTCTCGAAACAGGGGAGGCTCCTTGGTTTCGAGAATAGAGTCCCTACTGAGCTTAGCCGCTGGGACCGCCTGAATGTACCCATTGTCCCCCATCTCCTTCTCAGCGTAATCTGAGAAGACGTCGATGATCACCTGGTACAGGGATATATTATACTCTTATTTATACGGGCTCGCAGATAAGTGGAAAGTACGAGTGGCGGGTTTATAACACTGCCCCCTTCCTCAAAGCTGTTCGCCCCGAACAGCTTATTCCATCCATATTGCATCCAAGTCGGTGCGCTTTTGCCCTTGTATAGAGCCAGCCTCTCCATGTGAACGACCTTGGGCTTGGCTTTGGGTGTAAGTTGTATCCTGTATACCAACTTGTTGATTTTCTTAATGACCTTATATATGGTCCTTCCCATGGTCGTTGCAGTTTCGGACTAAGTACCTTTCTTCGCTGTGGCTGATACAACCAGACAGCATCGACTTCATTAAAGGTGTTCAGTGACTGCGGTTGGTCGAGTCTCATCTTCATTCTATCATAGGTCAGACGTAGCTTATTTCTGACGAAATCGAAACTCTAAATCTGTCCTGGAGATCAGCCACGTAAACTGGAAGTACAGCCTCGTCTTCATCAACTGGAGGCCTGCCAAACATTAAATCTACTGAAAGCTTCATTTCTCTTCCAGTCAACAGCATAGATGGTGTATAGCCGGTGGACTCATGCTGAGAGCTTCTATAAGCCAGAAGGAAAAAAGGCATTAGTTTATCTCAGTCTCGCTGGTGACCATCTACAAACATCGAGAGGTATTGATTGATGGTCCGATTGTACCTCTCGACCATTCCGTCCGACTGTGGGTGAAGTGCAGTCGTCCTCGTTTTTCTTACTCCCAGTAACCTCATCAGTTGTTTCCATACCTCGGACTCAAAATTCCTTCCCTGATCGGTATGAAGTTTCATCGGTACCCCATGTCTGGAAATGACGTTTTCCAGGAATGATTCCGCAACAGTTACTGCTTCCTGATAAGGTATGGGAACTACTTCTGGCCACTTTGAAAAATAGTCCATAGCAATCATGAAGTACTTATTCTCTGACTCCGTCGTAGGAAAAGGACCTGCAATATCAACGGCAATTTTCTCCCAAGGGAAACCAGACAAGTACTGCTTCATTTCTCTACGGGATCGCGTCTAGGTTTCTTTCTTAGAAGCAGAGAGATCGCATCTCTTGGACCACTCTTCAACATCCCTACGACAGTTGATCCAATAGTACCTATCTCATACTCGAGCAAAGGTCCTATTGACTCCAAAGTGTCCGCCACCCCTACTAGCTGTTCTTGAAGCACTCTGTCCACCATAGTCCGTGGCACAACGGTCTGATATACTAGGTTTTTTCCATCTGGATTTTCTCATTTACGAGTGATCAAGTCATCTCGCAAACATCACGAGTCCCATTGCAGCCAGTATCCCTTCACCGTTTGACTGAAACTAGAAATTTTTTTCCATTCAATTCCTTATCCATATTCTATTGTTCTTCGAAGTCTTCTTTCGTAATGTCTTCATCAGTATTAGCGTCGTTGGCGGAATTCTTAAGCCTTATTTGTTGAACGACTCCAGAATTTTTGCCTGCCTCCTTTTCCTCTTGCCTTTGGCAGAATTTGCATGAGCTGTCAATACATGATCTTCGTGATAGGCTGTCGGCGCTGGCATGACTCCTTCCTTTGCGAATTGCGATGTTTGATTTGGAAGTCATAACTTTGTAATTTGTCTAACCAACACGCTAGTTGACCCTCCAGATTTTCAAAATTGAGCAGCTATTACAATGCAGCTAGTTGACCCTCCAGATTTTTAAAATTGAGCAGCTATTACAATGCAGAATGGTCGGTTCTAACTAGGAACTTCCGGCTATAGAAAACTGTGGTAGTATTCCATAGATCTTACTACTGCCAGAAGCTCCTTTCGGATAACACAATAATTCTTCTCTGCCTTTCTAATGACTCACTGAAGTATCCAATTACTACTTCTTCGCCGTTTTGAATTTGGGAAAGAACAGCTCCTATTCCACTCTGCGAAGCGTCGGTGTCTAACATGAATAGACCTTCATCTCTGGGATACGCCAGAACTGGAGCACTAGTCAATTTATTTTTCAGCTCCACGAAAGACCATTGTTCTTTTCAGTTAGTTCATGTAAAGGCTTCGCAATCTTCCCAAAATCCTTGACAAACCGGCGGTAGTAACTGCAGAGTCCCAGAAAGCTTCTAACTTCTAACTTCATGTTTATTCTTTGGTCTGGGCCAATCTCGCACAGTTTGGACTTTCTCTGGATCTGTCTCTATTCCTTTTGATGAGACGACATGGCCGAGGAAGTTTACTTTTTCCTGGAATAGGACAAACTTCTTGGGATTTAGTTGCAGATTGGCACTGCGAGTCCTGGCAAAAACTGCCTTCAACTTCGATAGGTGTTCGTCGAAATCTTTGCCAATCACCATGACATCATCCAGATATACCATGCACGTTTCCCAAGTCAGTCCTCGCAAAACTAACTCCATCAGTCTTTCAAAAGTGGCAGGTGCATTGCATAATCCAAACGGCATGACGTAAAATTGATATAGGCCGTTTCGTGCAGTAAATGCGGTCTTCTCTCTAGCCTCTTTATTGAGTTCCACCTGCCAATATCCACTTTTCAAGTCCAGGGTTGAAAACCACTTGGATCCTGATAAGGTGTTAAGGGTATCGGCAATCCGGGGTAATGGATAGCTGTCTTTCTTCGTAATGTCATTCAACCTTCAACACAAAACCTGGTAGAACCATTCTTTTTCGTAACTAGTACGACCGGCGACCATGGACCATGGACTATTAGATTCTTCTATGATGTTATCCTTCAGAATTTCCTTAATAATGATGTTAACTTGCTGTTGATTTGAGAAAGGGAGTCTTCGTGGTGGTTGGCAAGTGGGTGTAGCACTTCCTGTGTTGATGCGATGATCTACCAAATTAGTTCGTCCAGTAATTTTATCTTGTAGAAAAACACCAGCCTCTTTTTGCACAAAGTCAATAGCTTTCTTCTTTTCTTGCTGGCCTGAGTGATTCCAGCTCTTTTCAAACGTCTCCAGAAGCTCTATTAATAAATATGCTTCATTTGACACAGGCTCCTTCTTTGCGCATCTGACTACTCGTATAGCTGGTGTACATCTAGGCTTCGACGCTATGTTCGAGTAAGGTCGTGCAAAGAGAGCTCCGTTTTTAAGTGAATTTTTCAAGGGATATACGTGGAAATAAATTCCTAAACTATGTTCAAGTGAATGATAATGTGCTAAGTGTTGTTAGTAACTTTGAAAGTATTCATAATTCTACCCCAACTTTGAGTAATTTGAACGATTAATCTGATTGGTTGATATTTTCGAGCGATATACAGTCGGGCCATTCCATTTTATAGTCATACCATCTCGACTGAGTAGTGATAATGGCTAATTCGAAAGCAAAAATTTTAAGAAGCAATTCTAACACAAATGAAGAAATAAGTAACATGGATTCTATTGAGAAGCTGATAAATCAAGTATGTACCAATTTTGCGAAACAAATTCAAACTGCCATGGACACTAGATTTGTGAAGATAGAAGAGAAGCTCAATGAAGTAAATAATGGTATAAAGAACTTGCAGACTAAAATCAACACAGTTGAGACGTCTATTAGTGATCTTGACAAACGATGTGACAAAATGGAACAAAAGTTGAAGAAGAATTCACTTAGATTTTATGGGATTCCCGGAGAAGAAAGAGAAAATACTTCTAAGGTAATCACTAACTTTATAAATCAACAACTTAACATATCTTGTAGTGAAAGTGATATCGAATATGCATTCCGTATTGGTAAATCTGATAGTACCCGTATGCAGCCGAAGGGAATCGTTGTTAACTTTACAAATACGCTAAAGCGGAGGGAAGTTTTTGGTGCAAAGAAAATGCTGAAACAGACTAAATTCTCAATTTTTGAAGATCTTACAATTTCTCGCTACAGATGTCTGATGGCTGCCAAAAAGCGCTATGGAAAAGACAAGGTTTGGTCAACTGATGGAAATGTTTGGCTCTGGGATGACCGCCAGTCTAAGAAGATTTTAATTACAGTGGTAGATAATATTCAATTTTATGTAAAATAGGAATTTGAATTTTATATCGGCGATTTTATCGTCATGGTAGTTCTATAGTAGATCTATAGCATAAACACATATACATTCTATTCTTTTGGGTTTATAAGGTAAAAATAAACATGAGTGCTTGTTTTTTTTTTTGTGTATGGGGATCATAAATATTAGCACTAATTTATTTGATTTTATTTATTTTATTTGAAGGGACTACCTAGCTATTTTTGGATAGGTGGTATAAAGTAAACATATTAGAATTTATTTTGGAAAACATTAAAATCCAGCTTCAATTTATCTGCTAATTGTTTATAAAATCCAAAATGGTAATAAGTAAGCATAGAGATCAATTTTAAATTCAATTAGGTACATGTTGATGTTTTTTATTTATTTTCCCAATATGTATGTACGTATGATATGGGAGTTCTTTTTA